CAAAGCAGTTCAAAGCAGTTTGATGATCCACCATCACTGTTTGAGGGAGGAAAACAGGGAGGAAGTAAAAATCTGAAGCAAACCTGGCATTTCTGGGATAACTGCTGACATGTGATTCTGTTCCCCTGTATCACCATGCTCACAACCAGACCCCACAGCAGGCTAACAGATGGCTTCTGTTCCCAGGCCGGTCAGCAAACAGATATGAAGAAAGGCAGACAGAAAACCATCTCCAGAACAGTCTTTTTATTTGTAATCATCGTTCATGCTTGTGCTTTTATAATTTTGAGTGGGACTCCTTTCCTAGTTCCTCACAATGTCAGAACTTAGCAAAAAGAGCATTGGGATTCCACATTAGACATGTGGATTAGTCTGGTCAGGTTGCCATAACTAAACCCCACAGACTAGAGGGCTTAAACAAATATCTTATAAATAAGATATTTATTTCCTTACAGTTCTGGAGGCTGGGAAGTCCAAGGCCAAGGTGCCAGCTGATTCAGTTCCTGGTGAGGCCACTCTCTCTGGCTTACAATCACCTTCTAGCTGTGTCCTCACATGGTCTTTTCTCTGTGCACCTGTTTCATTAGGTCTCTTCTTATAAGGACACCAGTTCTATGAGATTAGGGTTCCACTTTTATTACCTCATTTAACCTTAATTACCTCTTTATAGATGCCAACTCCTAATACAGCCACATTGGGTATTAGTACTTCAACATATGAATTTGAAGGAGGGACACAATTCAGTCCTTAACATGGTGCCTTATGGATTATATCTGCATCTTCCATCTAATCACCACCCAAATCCAGCACCTGAATTGGTGAATGTTGCCAGTGAGAGGCCAAGAGCCAGAGGAGCCTGCTTCTGCTTGTAGAGGGTACACAGTTGAAATAGTTGGTTTTCATGCTGCTGATAAAGACGTACCTGAGACTGGTAATTTACAGTGAAAAAGAGATTTAATGGACTCACATTCTACATGGCTGGGGGAGGCCTCACAATCACATTGGAAGGTGAAAGGCATGTCTTACATCACAGATGGCAAAAAAAGAGAATGAGAGCCAAGTGAAATGGATTTCCCCTCAACAAACCATCAGATCTTGTGAGACTTACTCAATATCATGAGAATAGTATGGGAGAAACAACCCCCATGATTCAATTATCTCCCACTGGGTCCCTCCCACAATACATGGGAATTATGGGAGTACAATTCAAGATGAGATTTGGGTGGGAACACAAAGCCAAACCATATCATTCTGCCCCTAGCCCCTGCCAAATCTCATGCCCTCACATTTCAAGACCAATCATGCCCCAACAGTTCCCTAGTCTTTACTCATTTCAGCATTAACTCAAAAGACCACAGTCCAAAGTCTTATCTGAGACAAGGCAAGTCCCTTCCACCTATGAGCCTGTAAAATCAAAAGCAAGTTAGTTACTTCCTACATACAATGGAAATACAGGTATTGGGTAAATACAGCCATTCCAAATGGGAGAAATTGGCCCAAATAATGGGGCTACCAGCCCCACAAGAGTCTGAAATACAACAGGTCTTTTGCCCATTTTTAAATTGGATTATTTTCTGCAATTGAGTTGAGTTCCTTGTATGTTTCTGATGTTAACCTCCTGTTTAATGCATACTTTGCAAATATTTTCTTCTATCCTGCAGTGTGTCTTTTCACTCTGTTGTCTCCTTTACTGTGCAGAAGCTTTTTAGTTTAATGTATGTAATGCCAATTGTCTATTTTGCTTTTTTTTGCCTGTGCTTTTGAGATCTTATTAAAAAAGCCTTGTCCATAACAATGTCCTGAAGCACTTCACCTGTTTTCTCCAGCAGTTTCATAATGTAAGATCTCATATTTAAGTCTTTAATTGATTCTGAGTTAACTTTTGTATATGGATATCCCACTTTCTCGACAACATTTATTGGAGACTATAAGCCAAAAATAAAATTCTAAGCCCCTCAAGCAACTGAATTGGACCGCTCCTCTTGGCCAAGAGTATTTCAAAGTAAACCCAAAAATCTAGTAAAGGCCATGATTGGAAGAGGAAGTCGGAAATGTCTCATTTATACCCTCCTCCTTTTGGAATTTAGGCACAATTGACCAGCATGAACATTATAACAGAGATCTTAAGACTGATAAAACAGCGATCTGTAGCAATAAGACACCAGATTCCAGCCTGACTCCAATGTAGCATCACATGACAGACAGCAGGCCCTGAAAGAAATCAAAATATTTTACCCCAAAATATATTTATTTGACATATTATGAAGTAGCCCTGCAAACCATCTCTTGTGGGGGGAAAAATCTACATTCTGTAGAGAATCCCCTTCCCTTTCCAGGTTTTCTTCCTTACCCAGCAGAGAATTAACTAAGAGTTTGGCACCATTTTAAGTCCTATAAGAGCTCTGAAGCCTAATACCTGGAAGCTTCATCAGTATGATAAAATCCTGGTCTCCACAACCCCTTATCTTAACCCAAACAATCTCTTCTATGATTCTAGGTCTTTAGGTAATAACTTAATACTTCCAACCAACTGTCAATCAGAAAATCTTTGAATTCACCTATAACCTTGAGTCCCATCAACTCAAGTTGTCCTGGACCAAACCAATATACATCTTACATGTACTGATTGATTATCTTATGTCTCCCTAAAACATATAAAACTAAGCTGTAGCCTGACCACCTTGGGCACACACTGATATCTCATGTCTCCCTAAAACATATAAAACTAAGCTGTAGCCTGACCACCTTGGGCACACACTGATATCTCATGTCTCCCTAAAACATATAAAACTAAGCTGTAGCCTGACCACCTTGGGCACACACTGATATCTCATGTCTCCCTAAAACATATAAAACTAAGCTGTAGCCTGACCACCTTGGGCACACACTGATATCTCATGTCTCCCTAAAACATATAAAACTAAGCTGTAGCCTGACCACCTTGGGCACACACGGATATCTTATGTCTCCCTAAAACATATAAAACTAAGCTGTAGCCTGACCACCTTGGGCACATGTTCTCAGGATCTCCTGTGGCTCTGCCACAGGGCAACTGATCACTCATATTTGGCTCAGAATAAATCTCTTCAAATATTTTACAATTTGACTTTTCATTGACAACACTATCCTTTCCCCATTGCCTGTTCTTGGCACCTTTGTCAAAAATAAGTAGGCTACAAAGGTATAAATTTATTTCTGGGCACCATTACAGTACTGGCATAAAAATAGACATGTAGACCAGTAGAACGAATATAATAGCAGTTTTAAAGTCTTTGTTAAGCCCAACATCTGTGTCCTCTACCAGGCAGTTTCTGTTGCCTGATTTTTTTCTGTCATACCCATTTTTCTGTCATTGTCTATTTCTTTGCATGTCTTATAATTTTGTATTGAAAATGACATCTTAGCTAATATATTGTAGCAACTATGGATACTACAAGCCCCTCTACCCCAGGGCTTGTTTTTATGTGCTTATTTTTTCAATGACTTAGCTGGACTCCTGTTGAGAAGTATATTCCCCTCCCCACCCAACCTCTGATTTTGCTCCTCAGAGGGCACAACCTTGAGTGTACACACATTCTCTCTAGGATGACAATCATATTATCAGGGCTATCTGTATCTTCCCTGATCTCTTTGTTAAGCTGTCTACATCTGATGTTTTCATACCCAGCTGTTAGACCCCACTAATTGCTGGCTGATTGTTCTATTGTTTTTGACAACAGCTGAGGGCATAAATTGTTCTACATTTTATATAATTAAATGTAGATCTTCTTTTTAGTGTTTGAGGTTTGTTCTGACTCTGGGATGACTTTTACTTCTCTTTCCTAGTCTCTGGCCCAAGGTTTTGCCCAGCTGCTTATCAGCTTCTTCTTAATTACTCACCACCAAAATCTCCATTTTTTTCTGAGAACACCCTTAGGCTTGAACTTTCCCTACACTTTTATAAACAAATTCAGTATCTTCCAGAGAGCTTCAGAGCTTTCTGTGATTGTATCCTACTTCTTTTACTTGGGAAAATGTTGGAGTCACTGCTCTAGAGCTGAGGGCAGAGACAGTGTCACAATTCTCTTGCAGTGACACTTTTACTTTATAAACAGGGTGCGAGATGGGGGCAATAGCCTTTGCTCTTCTCAGCTTGGTTTTCCTAGGATAGAACCTCTGCCCTACAAACTAGCTGGACTGACAAAGGGCAACTGGGGAACCAGTCTTCTCAGCCTCGGTTGGAACCTATGCCCTACGAGTAGGGGCTGGCCACATTCTCCTGGAATTTAGCCTCTGCAACATGGAGCTTTGCCGGAGGTGGGGAAATGCTGAAAGCCTGCCCTCCTGGAGAGATGCCATAACCCTTGATGGGAACTTCGGGGAAAGGGAGCCCAGTCTTCTTGGTCATTCTTGATAGCATCTCTCATGCTGAGCTGGGCAGTGGATGAGAAAGGGGAAGGAAGGAGCAGGTCCTGGCTCAAGTGCCACAGACACCTGCTATTCTTACTGAGATCTAGTAGATTTTCTTGAATAAATGTTTCTTTATTTGCTATATGCCCTTAGGACATAAGGCAAGTTTCCAAGTTTGGTTGCTTTCTTAAGATAATTTTTATCTGTTATTGTTTCACTGAGCAATAAATCCAGAGCCCCTAATGCCATGGTTCCAGAAGTGGATCCCAATAAGTTTTAATCTTAATTTCTTTATTCTTAATCAACAAAATGTTACACTCAAAGTTCCTTCCTGCCTAATATCCCATGTTAGGGAAGCTGGAATTAACCAGGAGAATATGAACTCTATACTCTATGTAGAGTTCTGCCTCGCCAGCTAGAATTAAACCATGCTTTTAAAAAGACATTATTTTGGGGCCGAGTGTGGTGGCTCACGCCTGTAATCCCAGCACTTTGGGAAGCCAAGGCAGGTAGATTACTTGAGCTCATAACTTCAAGACCAGCCTGGGCAACATAGCGAAACATGTCTCTACAAAAAAATACAAAAATTAGCCAGGCATGGAGGTGCGCACCTGTAGTCCCAACTACTTGGGAGGCCGAAGTGAGTAGATCTCTTGAGCCCAGAAGGTTGAAGCTGCAGCAAGCCAAGATTGTACCACTGCAATCCAGCCTGGATGACAGAATGAGACCCTGTCTTTAAAAAAAAAAAAAAAGCATTATTTTTGCTAAAAATAAGAGTCACCCAGACATATATCCTGATTAACAAATAATTTGTAGCAAATCAGATCTCTATGGAGGTGGCCTAGGCGATATCCCTGAGCTGAGAGCATCACCCTGTCCCCGAATCCTTCTTTCCTCTGTTTCGTTTTTCATTCCCCTTCCCTTCTCCCCTCCCCCTCCAATCTGCGACAACCGGCTCTTGACCCTGTTCAGGCCTCGGTGAAGGCATTTGGTTACTCCCCTTCCCGCCCCATCCCTTATTTTTATTATTTTGAAGAGTGCATTTCAAGCTGCCAAGGTGAAGAGAGGAATTACAAAAGGAGAACGTCTTATTTCAGAATCCATAGCTGGTTAGTAAACTTCCAATTAAGAGGAACCATTCTTGGGTTTTCTGGGTAGAGCATTTCTACCTTGGATACTAAGAGTTCTACATAGGCAAAGCTCAAATTATAGAAATAGAAAGTGAAGCCACCTGCCCTAGAAGATCTCTGCAACCCAGAGGTGAAAAGAAAGAGCAGAAGGCACCAGGCTAATCAACAGTAAAGTCAGAGGAGAGGAAGGAGACTGGGAAGATGGCACTGTAGGACCAACTCAGGATTGCACCTCCCAGTGAATCCGCAGAGGGTGAGTGGACGCTGCATTTCCATACGGATCTTTATCGCCCACAGACCAGGAGATTCCCAGGTGTAAGAGCCCCACGGGCCGCCAGCGCAGCAATTTGGGCTGGTGCTGATGTTTGGGCCGAGGCCGCAGCGCAGCAATACTCCGTACAAAATACATTGGTTTGGTTGCCCTGTTAAACCAGCAATTGGAGATTTCGGAAGGCAGATTAGCACATCATCTGATTAAACGGGATGTAAACAGAAACCCAGGCCAGGAGATTCCCAGGCAGCAACGTGGTTTGAGCCGGCGCAGTGGGTCGCTGCACAGGAAATCACACAGATCCTGGTGCCCTTGCAGCAGGCGACTGGAACCCCTGGGAGAGAGTCAACTATTCAACTTAAAAAAAAAGGGGGGGGGCTCTGAGGCAGGGAGCCAGGTGATCAGGCTCGGTGGGTCCCACCCCCACAAAAACAAACAAAACAGCAATTGGAAACACTCGGGGTTGAGAGTTTCACGGCAATCACAGCTGAACCCAGGACCGTGCACCTCAGTGGGGGAGGGGTGTCGGCCACTACCGAGGCACGTGACCCCTATGAAGGTACTCTGCCATTGCTGACACAGCCTGCTGTTGCTGAGGCAACCCGCCATAACAGAGAGAGCCCGCCACTACAGAGGCAGGCCACCATCCCCACTGCAGTTCTAACCACACCCATATAAACAGGACTACAGGGAATTATACACAGCAGCAGGGCGGAGCCCACGGCAGCAGGGCGGAGCCCACTGCAGCTCATCATAGCCACTACAGGAAGGAAGTGACTAGACTGCCCCCTCGCTGGGCAGGAAACTGCAATGGATACTCATAATTAAAGCCCTAACTCCCTGGGACAGAGCACCTGAGGGAAAAAAAAGGGGGGCTTTACAAGTTCTGCTGCAGCAGACTTAAACATACCTGCCTAGCAGCCCTGAATGAACAACAGAGCTCACTGCTCACCACTAGAGCTCCTATAAAGTATAGACTGCCTCCTCAAGCAGCTCCCTGACCCCCATATATCCAAAGAGTCACCTCAAACAGGACTGATCAAACTGATATTTGGCGGACATCATTCAGGGACAAAGATAGCAGAAGAAGAATCTGGTAGCAACCCTCACGGTTCCACAGCTGCTACAGGAGTTCCCCAGGCAAGCAGGGCCTGGAGAGGACCCCAGCAGTCCTACAGCAGTGGGGCCAGACTGTTAGAAGGAAAACTAAGAAACAGAAATAATTCATCATCAACAATCTGGACGTCCACTCAGAGACCCAATCGGAAAATCAGCAACCACTCGGACGACAGGTGGATAAATCCACAAAGATGGGAAGAAACCAGCGCAAAAAGGAGGAAAACACCCAAAACCAGAACACCTCGCTTCCTACAAAGGACCAAAACTCCTCACCAGCAAGGGAACAAAGCTGGACAGAGAATGAGTGTGATGAAATGATGGAATCAGACTTCAGAAGGTGGGTAATGAGAAACTTCCATGAGCTAAAAGAATGTGTTCTAAATCAATGCAAAGAAACTAAGAAACTTGAAAAAAGATTTGAGGAAATGATAACAAGAATGGACAACTTAGAGAGGAATATGAGTGAATTGAAGGAGCTGAAAAACACAACACGAGAACTTCGCGAAATTTCAACAGCTGAATTGACCAAGCAGAAGAAAGGATATCAGAAGTCGAAGATCAACTCAATGAAATAAAACGAGAAGCCAAGATTAGAGAAAAAAGCACAAAAAGGAATGAACAAAGTCTCCAAGAAATGTGGGACTATGTGAAGAGACCTAATCTACGTTTCATAGGTGTACCTGAATGTGCCGAAGAGAATGAATCCAAGCTGGAAAATACTCTTCAGGATATTATCCAGAATAATTTCCCCAACCTAGCAAGGCAGGCCAATATTCAAGTCCAGGAAATACAGAGAACACCACAAAGATATTCCGTAAGAAGAGCAACCCGAAGGCACACAAGTCAGATTCACCAGGGTTGAAATGAAGGAGAAAATGCTAAGGGCAGCCAGAGAGAAAGGTCGGGTCACCCACAAAGGGAAGCCCATCAGACTCACAGCAGATCTCTCGGCAGAAACCCTACAAGCCAAAAGAGAGTGGGGGCCAATATTCAACATCCTTAAAGAAAAGAACTTTCAACCCAGAATTTCATATCCAGCCAAACTGGGCTGCATAAGTGAAAGAAAAATAAAATCCTTTGCAAACAAGCAAGTACTCAGAGATTTTGTCACCACCAGGCCTGCTTTACAAGAGCTTCTGAAAGAGGCACTACACATAGAAAGGAACAACCAGTACCAGTCATTCCAAAAACATACCAAATGCTGAGCATCAACAAAATGAAGAATCTGCATCAACTAATGGGCAAAACAGCCAGCTAGCATCAAAATGGCAGTATCAAATTCACACATAACAATATTAACCCTAAATGTAAATGGACTAAATGCACCAATCAAAAGACCCAGACTGGAAAATTGGATAAAAAGCCAAAACCCATCACTGTGCTGTATCCAGGAAACCCATCTCACATGCAAGGATACACAAAGGCTCAAAATAAAGGGATGGAGGAAGATTTACCAAGCAAATGGAGAGCAAAAAAAAGGAGGAGTTGCAATTCTTGTCTCTGATAAAATAGACTTTAAAGCAACAAAGATCAAAAGAGATGAAGAAGGACAATACATAATGGTAAAAGGATCGATACAAGAAGAAAAGCTAATGATCCTAAATATATATGGACCCAATACAGGAGCACCCATATATATAAGGCAAATTCTTAATGAATTACAAAGAGACTTAGACTCCCACACAATAATAGTGGGAGACTTTAACACTCCACTGTCAATATTAGACAGATTAACCAGACAGAAAATCAACAAGGATATCCAGGGCTTGAACTCAGACCTTGAACAAGCAAACCTGATAGACATTTACAGAACCCCCCACCCCAAATCCACAGAATATACATTCTTCTCAGCACCACATCACACTTACTCTAAAATTTACCACATAATTGGAAGTAAAGCACTCCTCAGCAAATGCAAAATAACTGAAATCATAAAAAACAGTCTCTCAGATCATAGTGCAATCAAGTTAGAACTCAGAATTCAGAAACTAACTCAGAACCACACAGCTCCATGGAAACTGAACAACTGGCTCTTGAATGTTGATTGGATAAACAATGAAATGAAGGCAGAAATAAAGAAGTTCTTCAAAACCAACAAGAACAAAGACACAACATACCAGAATCTCTGGGACACATTTAAAGCGGTCTCTAGAGGAAAATATATAGCAATAAATGCCCACATGAGAAGAGTGGAGAGATCCCAAATTGACACCCTATCATCAAAATTGAAAGACCTAGAGGAGCAAGATCAAAAAAACTCAAAACTTAGCAGAAGACAAGAAATAACTAAGATCAGAGCAGAACTGAAGGAGATAGAAACATGAAAAACCCTTCAAAAAAAGCAATAAATCCAAGAGCTGGTTTTTTGAAAAGATCAACAAAATAGACAGACCACTAGCCAGACTGATAAAAAAGAAAAGAGAGAATAACCAAATAGATGCAATAAAAAATGATAAAGGGGAAATCACCACAGATTCCACAGAAATTCAAACCATCATCAGGGAATATTACAAACAACTCTATGCACATAAACTAGGAAACCTGGAAGAAATGGATAAATTCCTGGACTCCTGTGTCCTCCCAAGCCTAAACCAGGAGGAAGCCAAAACTATGAATATACCAATAACAAGGTCTGAAGTTGAGGCAGCAATTAACAGCCTACCACACAAAAAAAGCCTAGGTCCAGATGGGTTCACAGCTCAATTCTACCAGACACACAAAGAGGAACTGGTACCATTCCTTCTGAAACTATTCCAAATAATCCAAAAAGAGAGAATCCTTCCCAAATCATTTTATGAGACCAACATCATCCTGATACCAAAACCCAGCAGACACTCAGCAAGAAAAGAAAACTTCAGGCCAATATCCATGATGAACATAGATGCAAAAATCTTCAATAAAATACTGGCAGGCCGATTGCAACAGCACATCAAAAAGCTTATCCATCATGATCAAGTAGGATTCATCCCGGGATGCAAGGCTGGTTCAACATACGCAAGTCTATCAACGTAATTCACCACATAGACAGAACCCAAAATAAAAACCACATGATTATCTCAATTGACGCAGAGAAGGCCTTTGACAAAATTCAACAGCCCTTTATGCTAAAAACCCTCAATAAACTCAGTATTAATGGAACGTTTCTCAAAATAATAAAAGCTATTTATGACAAACCAACAGCCAATATCATACTGAATGGGCAAAAACTGGAAG